AGGTTATGTTTTTTGTCTGATTGCTCCAGTATGAAATATATCAGAATGAAATGAACGTGCTTTCCCGTGGGCCAGCAGAGGAAAGTGTCCTGAAAAGCCCTGTATTAAAAAGCAGGGAAGGAGAAAATAGGTCATTTTGTTGAGCAATTCTAAACGTCTTAAGAATTAGACGGCAGAAAAAGGACTAGAATGGACCACCAAGCTAAATCCACCTTGCCAGCGGCAGGCACACAAAAGATACTAGCAGCAGGGTATGTGAGGCAGGAAATCGTAACTCAGCTTAGCAGGGACTGGAAAGTGCACCTAAGGTACACTCAGTAAGGCTTTGTAATTCCCTGAGATGCAGAGTAGCTCTTACTCTGACTTATTCTGGCTTCAGCACAATGAAGTGTGAAGTATCAGCAAGCTTCCTCATAGCACACCAGTTGCAGACCAGAGGTCTACAGGAATGAACAAGTACATACATGTCTGAGTCTATTGTCCTGGAAATTAATGGACAAAACAAGTACAGGGAGGTAGCAAGGAATGGGCAGAAAGAAAGGAACTTGACTTTTTAAACAAGTTAGATATGAGCAGCCCTGTTAAAGAAGCAGAGAAAGCAGAACATTTGAAAACTGCCTTTGAGGGCTCCTGAGCTGAGGATGAGACAAACAAAATGCAGCTAGAGAGCACCCATGAAAAATCATTTATCAGTTATCTCCTGAATGAGAATTGTCTTAGGGAATGGACACAGTATTTACTTAACACTAGGGTTCATTTGGTCATTCTCTGCCTCTGCCCTACTCTAAGTCCGTGAGCAGGGAAGCAAAAAACATATAAATTCACAATTCACATATCTCTCCTACTGAAAGTTTCTCCCTGATGTCAGCAGGACATTTGCACAGGGGTGAAAGGCAGACTATGGTCCTCATGTACGTTCTACTCTGGTACTGGCTATTTATTTATAACCATTCATATTTATTAATATTAAGTATCCTTGTGAGATAGGTCATTTTTCTGATCTCTATTTATTTCAATCTTTCCTCTCATCCTGAATTTTCTCTGGTTTTCCCTTCACATTCCCATCATCGAAACTATTCCCACTCTTTTCCTCCATTAAACTGATCAATACCGGACTCATGAAGACTGACAATGATGCGGCAGTACCGAGCTTTGCAGATGGCATTCCAATGGAAATAACACATCATCGCATCAGCCTGTCTACAGACCTAGCAAGGTGTTGTAACATCAATTTTTGCTCAGTAACACAAGTAGAGGCTTACTCTGCTGCCACTACTTACCTTTGTCCTGAAATAAACCCCAAGATTAAATAGCAATCTGAGTATGCTACGCGGGCTACGCAAGTGTACAGAGTGGGTCAAATGTATTCTGTTGGTCTTCTGTTTGATGGTCTCATCTGAATAAAACAATCTGCGCTTTCTGTCCATTGTGAAGTCTGGTGTCACCATCGCGCTGCTATAGAGAGCTCCTGAGTCTTTAATTTGAAAAACAAACAATCAAACCTTCAAAAACATGCTGACCTTGAAAATGCTTTGGAAAGAACCAAAACCACACACACCAAGCAGACTTTGCTATTGTTTGCAGATAACTTTTAGGGGGTAAAGTCCATGGCAGTGTGAGTTTGTGTCACTCCTAAGCAAGAGCCCTCATGAATACTGAAATCACAGACTAAAAACTCAAGTCGTATATGACTGCTGGTATTTGCAGCAAGCAACCCTAATCCACTTCAATTAATTCACTATGGCCAATTTACAAAAATCAGCATCTCAAGCATTCCAAAAATAGTTTATTTTCAGATGACGGAGTCCTGCAAATCATCATCTTCTTGTCCACACAACAAAAAACAGGCACAACTGGGAAGCACGCTAGCGCTTCCTTTATGAGTCTTAATGGCTAAACTCATTATGTCTGAGGTAAAGATAACCTGCACATCCTTGGTGCTGTAGTTTTACCTCAACTCTGGCTTGCCAACCTTTGTTTGCTCACATTGCATCACACAGATACGCTGCCTGCCCAGCAGCATCCCCCTAACTGAGATGAAGGCTCCGCGTGGCTCAGGTTCTGTACTGAGCTGCTTTCCTTAATTTGTTTCTTTTGCATCATGCCTCATTTCATTTCATATTGTTGGAAGCTTTTATTTACTGTAAAAACTCACTTTTCCCTTGCTGCTTTCCTCTTTCTCACCATTCTCCTCTGGGATATCTCTTTTATCCCTTTTCATCTGCTTTCCCTCTAGCACTGGAGACAAAATCTTTATTTTCCACCTTGCCACCAGCTGGCCAGAGTGCTGAGTCTTGCCACCTTTCAAGAGAAAATTCTGAAAAACTTGTGACCCACTGCCCACAAAGCAGTCAGGACCTCACATTTTTGTTCTTTTGCTGCTTTCGTGCCAGCACATGCCAGCAGGGTCAGCTGGGACTGTGTCAAATTACCTGAACTGAAGGCTGGGCTCTTAGCTCTTAATTGCAATTTTTCAGTTCTAAGTTCATGGATTGTCACTGAGCTTTAAATATGAACTAAGGGCTTAAAGTACCTTGGCAAGGGAATAGTATGTGAATGTAATACCTGTTAAAGTTAGCACAGAATCACAGAATCACAGAATGGTCAGGGTTGGAAGGGACCTCTGGAGATCATCTAGTCCAACCCCCCTGCCAGAGCAGGGTCACCTACAGCATGCTTGATCTTTCTAGTGGTGATGAAACAAAACCATGAAAGGCTACAAACTAAATTTTCTTCAAGTTCACTACAGTATTCCAAACCAGGAAAACATCAAATACCCTTGCATGCTTATTAAAAAGGAGACGAAAAGGTGAAAAGGTCTGGGAACTTAAAAATAATGGAGAAAGAAACTATTATGTTACACTGTGAAGTGTAATTTCGGAACATAAAACACTGCTGTCTGAGTGTCCATTTTTTCAGAGATGGATCACCTCCTCTTTAAATAACTGTAATAAGAACCATGGGATCGATGTCCATTGGGATTGCTCTGCCTCTCATGATTCCTACTGCATGTGAAAAACTAGTCAAGGATATCAAAAAGTTGCTCATTTTCTCTTTTAGCCTGAAGAAAGAGGCCTCAAAGCTTTCTAAGAGGCGTGGTCCCCTGATTCAGGCATCTCCCAAGGAAATCTTAGGAACTGCTGAATTTTGGCCTGGCTATGACACTGCTGACCTTGAGTACATCAGTCCTCTGTGTATAAAGACATATATGCACATATACATACATATATGTGCATATGTGCATTTACATATACGTGTGTGCGCGTACATATCCAGGCAGAGAGAGAGTGCTTATTCTCTCCTGGTGTCCAACTTGAGACACACAGGAACCAATCCTCCCAATGTACTTTCTCCAGTTTGTAGGCTGCAAAAGTGCTTTTCACAACATGAGCAGGTTTTAGGCTCCACCAGAGAAATGCTGCTAACGAAAATATGTAAGGGAATTGGAGAGGAAGAAGCCTGGGATGAAAGAACTGCAATGGGACTCCAGGCTTTGCTTGTCTATCCTTTTCTCTTTCCTTTTCTTTTTACCTCTTAGGTGGACAGATCAAACGCCAGAAACAATTCTCAATCTACACCAAACAGAACCAGTTCTTTTGAGTTCATCTCAGCAAAATTAAATTAAAACGTGACAAAAGAGTTCTATTTTGACAATTTTGCTAACTTAGTTTGAATTAAACATTTTTTTCAGTTAATACAGTTGGACTACAATCTACATGGGCCTTAAATAAAAGCCACTTATTTTTGGAAAATACTCAAATCGCAATGAACTACTTTTGCAACTATCCTCCCAATGGCTACACAAATGATCTAACAGTTCTGCATATGAATATCCAGAATTTGTCATAAGGTCATCATCGGTACCTAAAGGTGCTTTAGGTAAAAACCAGAATACAGACAGAAAAAGCTTGGAACATACTCCAGAGAGCAGGAGGGTGTCTAAGCTGTTCGTGCCTGCCCTACTCAGACATCACCGCTCAGATGTTAGTCAGTTGTTCCAAATTAGTGACCCAAGCTGACGCCTTTTGTTTGGCTAATGACAGCTCCTCAGCTACGCTGATCTTGACCCAGATTCCTCTCTGGCTAAGTATGGAAATTCAGGAGAGAGCACTCCATAAAGTGATACCATCTATCAGCTAACTGGCACAGAAAAAATTGTTTGGACATGCCCATGGTAAAAAATATACAGGAAGCACCTCCATTAAGGTCTTAAACAGCCACCCCCCCGCTACAAATTCCAGACCCAAACATCTCTGACTCAAAACGTGCATCAAGATACAAGTTCTGTGTCACCAAGGAGGATCAGCACAATTTGCTTAGTTGAGTTATGCTCAGCACACCATCCAACCCGGCATTCATTACCATTCACGAGGCCTTTGACAGCCAGGGAAACAGCGCTATGGCATATATGTGAGAGTACTCATTCAGTGATAGCACAGAGGCTGTGGCTTAAAAGATGCAGGTGAAGTCGCAGCTCTTCCCTCTAGATCACATCCTGAGTACAATATTGGCCAGACTGCTCTCGGTCAGCACAGCCGCTCTATCACTCACCTGCAGAACGTGAAACAGCTCCAAATCTTGCTGAGGCCGGTGGAAATCTTTCTGCTGTCACAGCAACAGTGATAACATGCAGCAAATGAGGCAAGAGCTATGTACAGAACTGCCACCCTTTCACAGGGAGTCCCAAGTAATTTGAAGGAAGACAGGACTGCTTGTAAATCACCGAACAGGAATCCTGGATTGTCATGTGGCAGGAGAGCAGTGGAAAAGATTTGGATAAGTATTTCGCATGCTTGGATGTGTAAGTGGCAAAGAAGTCATAGAAAGGTTGGCTGAAAAGAACAAACATTTGCCCTTGGGCTCACGCCTGTGTGCTTAAAACAAGGCTTTTGGCAAGATCAGGCCAAGTCATAAGCTTTCAGCTGGAGATGTGAGAGGAATGGCTGTGACACCCTGCAGGGCAGGAGAGAGGGAGGGAAGGAGTGTTGGATCTTGCCTACCTGCGGACGACGAGCTTCAGCTTCTTATAGGACCCTTTAACCAGGGAGATGGCCTCTCTCCTGGAGCTGCTCAGTTCCACCTCATTGATGTTCACCACTTCGTCACCAGCCTGCAGCTTGGAAGGCAGGGAGTCCGCTTTACCTCCCTCTTCAATCTGCGCAGGAAAGAGAGGAGAAAGAAAGGGTGAGACATGCCTGCCACAGTTTACCTATCACGTGCAGAGCTGAGCATGCATTTCTGTTGAAGGAATTAGGTCTACCAGCCCCAAACTCCGCACTCTGACGAAGTAATGTTGTTTCCCTTTGGCATCCAGCTGCCTCAAAGGTCTGTGCTTGCCTCCTCTCTATTTCATATAGATGGAAGCTGGGGATCAGCAGCCAAATTAATTCTGCCAAGAAGCATTGTTTTGAATAAGCCTGAAAAGTATTTGGAAGCGGTGAACACCAGCAAAACGGTGATGGAATGCCTCCTGGTAAGAGCACCCAGGCAAGCCCAAGGGCAAAGCCAGGATTAGAAGAGCATGGATGTGATTTTTTCATTCAAGCTCCTCTTCGTGATCTAGCTGGTGGATTAACAACAGCTTCTTGCTTACTGTCCAGCAACAAAGCAGATGCACATAGGTGTATGAAGTTAATGACAAGCAGCACTCATGTAGAGTTTTTCAGCTAGGGATTTAAAGAAAGTGACAATTACTTTAATTTTATGCGAAAGTAAGAAGCTTGCTAAAGGCTATACAGTGGCAACGCTAGAAGGAGAATCCAAGGGCACCTTCCTCTGTTTTGTATGGTCCATCATGTACACTGTATGGTCCTTGATGCACGCTGATTCTCCATCAGTGTGCCAGCAGAAATATGCCAAGTCTGCAAAGAAGTAAGTGACAAGGCAGAGGACAAGAAAGTTTGACCCAGAATCTCCGAATCTCAGCCTTGTGCACTAACGCGCTCCCTCTCTGCAAAGGCATACTGGCATAACAGAGGTCAGGGTTGTATGTGGGTTAACGCACTGCAAATCCTGAGTTTCTGGAGACTCAGGAGTGCCACCGGTTCCGAGTGCAACTGATACGGCTTTTATAGCAAAACTTGCCACCACAAAATCTGATATTCAAAGCACCTGGCAGTCTCTGTTCAACAGAAGTTGTGACCTGAGTTAGCAATCGTCATGTGACTCTCACTTAAGTATAACATCTCATGGTACATTAGAAGTTTAATCTCTTCCTTCGGACCTTCACCTTTCCAGACATCACATTGAGACAAAGAAATGTATCTGAATTGGATTAAGACTCTGATCCAGCCAGGGGAAGGGCTGCTATTCGCAGGGGCACCATTTTCCGAGCAGTGAAATTGCACACACACTTCTGGAAGTTACTTTTATTTCAAGTCATGCCAGGCAAAATGTAATTGAGCCGTAACCCAGACATGTGACTCAGCACACACAGACACATTACCCAGATTTTTACCAGAACATTCGTTTCAGCACTGAATTGTGATTTCTCACAGGTGAAGCCGGTCTGTTCTGCTGAACAATAGTATTCCAGCTCATGTACCTTCTCAAACTTAAAATCTGACTTCCACAAACATTAGCTAATAAATTCTCTGAACCCCTACAAAGGTAGGTAGAAATCATTGTCATGCATCCTACCAGGAAGTCATTCCACTGACGAATGAGTTTTTTCTTTTCTTCTTAAGAATGGATAAAACCACAGGAATGAGACTTCATATAAAGAGCCTTGTATCACAATTACCAGGAAGCGTGAGAGATGAAACATTAGACTTTGCTGCCAGCATAAATAAATAACAAACTAAAAATGCAGTATTGCTCCAGTTTGTTGCTGCTGTAAAGGAAAACAGGTGGGTATTATTTCAATGAAATACAATAGAGCGGGATACTATGGGTTAGATTAACTTGTGATATAGTCAACAGAAGGGATTTTTGTTTGGTTTTGTTCTGTTCTGTTAGATCACATATAATGAAGAGAAGGCATTCTTGCAAAAATATTTCATGTAACAAATAGTAACTACCTCAAAGGCGAGATACTCATCAGAAGTGTTTGTATTAACTTTGGCCTTGATGAACCCTGACCTTAAAAATCCATCAAAATTGTGATCCATGCTTTATCCTCTAATAATCCAAATTGTATTTATATATTATAGGGTTTTTTTCACTCCACAAGATCACTTCTTTAAGGTTTTCTTTGCAACCAGGTGGCTAGACATTTCTTTTTCTCCTAATTTTGGTGAAAATGGAAATGTGGATTCTTCCATAACCACCTTTATAAATAACGTGAAATCAAAGACTTTAAGGAAAGATTAAACCCCGCGTTACTTCTGACAAGGTTGCTAACATTAAGAACAGCTTTGAAAGAAATCTTTCTTCAAATCCTGATGCGTTCCAGCCTATGCCTATGCCAAGGGCTCTTAAAGCGCAGCTTGTGAGGCCACGTAGCCAGCCACAGTACCACAGTAAGGAATGACTTCAAGGAAAGTTCACTAGCATGAGCGCAGAGTCACCTGCAAGTAATTCCAGAGGCTGAGAAAGATCTGCTTTGCTCCTGTGTAGCTAAACTATCCAGCAGCAAGACCTAAAACGAGACCCACTTTTTGTGATTAGAAGCTGTTGATAGCAGGGTCAAAACTGTACCATTTATGCACCTACAGAGAATATAAATGGAGATATAGATTACATCGTTATCTCATCTATTAATAATCTGTTAGCCTTCTCATCTGTCTATTGCTTAGGTACGGTTGTGTCATCTACTTGGCTGAGGTTCCCTGGAGGCAAATTCCTTAAAGTTCCTGGAGGAAAACATTCACAACAGGCCTGTGACCTGGCACTACCATTCAGAGAGTCAAAAGACGCAAAAAGACTCCCAAGTTTCCACCAAAAGTCCAGAAACAAGGCACTGTCTCCCAGAGCAAGGCTCAGACGCTCCACATTCATTTCTTCTCTCTGAATGCCTCTGAAAATATTTCTGTTTAAGGAGTGGTGATATTGCAAGGAAAGGACTGAATGATTCAAACAAAACAAGCTGCACTATAAACACAAAGCTCTATCTCTACCCAGCGTAACAATTATCAACAAAGCAAACAAAGCTCAGTGTCCACGTAACCTATTTAAATGAACACCTGCTTCGGTGGACAAGGCTCAGCGAAGTCAAGGATGGGGCTCCGGTGCTAAGGAAGATGCTTGCAAAGCTATGTGTGCCACAACAGACAAATAATACGCAGGCAGGCCACTTCTGCATGTGGTTACCTTCTCTGAACAGCCTGTTTCACCCTGTGGAGCAGGTCCCAAGTGAGAGGAAATGAGACGGCAAGTCTTCAACTGTTCTCTAAATCTCAAGTGGTTCTAAGTGCTGTCGATCAGCCAGGGCAGAGCCAGCAATACAGACTGTTGTTTTAAGCGTGCAAGTTGTGTTGGAGTACTTTGAGCAGCCACAGCATTGTCAAAATCGCCCTCAACAGTCATTTGTGCCACAAAAGTAACTGCCCTAAGTTACAGGACCTAGCGTAAGAGGTCAATCAATAGCCAGTAAGGCCTCTTATGGTTTATTTAAGCTGAAAAACCCAAGGTGATATGCAGCCAGCAAACCTTCTGGGTGTAGAATCGTCGCTCATCCGTCAGGAGCAGGAGGAGCCAGCGGGAACCGGCCAGGGACTGAAGTTTTTTTCCTGTTGGCTGGATTGAGCCAACTGCTCTGCCAAGTTGAGTTACGAGAGGGGACTCTCACAAGCACAGGGTGGAGGAATACCTAAAAAACAGGCTGGTTTTGAACTTCATGTCCTGGGCCAAACCTTAGAGGACTGGATTCAACGGCTGGACTTACTGCCTGTGCTGTGAGTAGAGCCAGCTGCCCAGGCGCTGCCAAGTGGGGAGAAGAACCCCTCTCCTTGAAATCAGCAGGAGCATCCGTACAGCAAAACATTCGCCAATAGCATAAAGACTCTTGGGTTCTGTGTCTCAGTCTCCCACCTGTAAAATGGACACAATCGCTGCTACCTATGTCTGTCCTGTCTGCCTCTTTGGGTGGCGGTGATCCAAATCTTGGCGGTCATTCCAGGGGCTGTCTCTGCGAGTCCCTAGGTCACAGGCCCTGGCCCTGGGGACAGTCCGTGCCAACTAGAACCATGCAACAGGAAAGCAACCCCTTCCAGAGGGTCTTCCACCAACCATCTACAAGATGGCTCCTACTTCCTGTGAAATCCCATCAAACTTCTGTGATTTCAGTATCTCCCCCACACCTCTCTCTTTCTTCTGTTTTCCACAAACATATCTAGCTGATTCTTTCAGGTTCTTTCAGAAGGAGAGAACAAGATCTTCCCTGCCAAGCTGGCCTCTCCCGAAATACATCCACTTAAAACGCCTCAATAGTCTCCTTGAGCTGACGCAAACTCGAGTCCCTTCAGTTGTCTTTAATACAGTAAAGCCTTCCATGCCCACTGCCCTTTCCTGAAAATCCCAAAGGCCACCCCGGTCCTGCTTTGCATTAACACTCCAGTCCGTTTTCTTGCATTAGAGGAGGCTTCTTGTCATTCAATAGATCCTGCAGCAGACTTTGAACCCATCTGTTCTCCCTTTTTTTGGCTTACTGTAAAAGCAAGAAGTTGCTTAAGCAGATCACCAAGGATACATAAGACTTATTACTACTGTCTTTTGTCTGGTTCGCTATGGTTACTGTAGGTTCAGAGAATGCTGTCTAACTGAGGTCCTTTCTTGACTATTTTAAATAAGTTTTCTTTATTTATTCCTCTTTATTCTTCTCTTTCTTTGAGGAGCTTTTGTAACCACAAATTCTCTGTAGCTTTTAAGATGGATTATTCCATCTTTGTGTCCTCTATAGTACAAATGGTGCATGTGATTCCCAAACTGTAAACATACTTGCTGTAGTTTCTCAATAAAAAAAAAAAAAGGAAGCAAGCAAATATGTATCCACAATGTACGCGGTTACACAAGCGAGAGCTGTGCCACGCAGCAGGTTAATACAACTGCTGAGTGCCACCAGGAGATGCTCTGGAAAAAACAGTAAGCCAGCATAGCTGGGTGTTGACAGAAGCAGCAGCAATTGCAATGACAAACTACTGCCCTTTTCGTGTCAGATATTATAATGACGGGAATGGAAGCTTCACAAATGAACTGCTGGAGACGGCTGTCCAGAAT